TGTCACGGGCATCGTGGGCGGTTGTCAATGCGACCACTTCGCTGCCGGTTGCCACGGGTACGGTGCCGGGGCTTTGGCAATCCGTCGCCGCTGCCGAACTTTGGGGGCGCCTCAGTGCCGCTGAGTGGACATTGGCTTCCTCTGCGCAGATCTGGATGGACTTAAAGTTCTCGGTTGCTAGTGCGTCGCTGGTACTTACAACAGGGGAGGTGCCGGCTCATTGGGGTACCCTTCAACTTTGGCATCGGTTGGCGGATCCTTTTCACCAGCTGGATGAGAACCCGCCACGCCTTCATTGGGTTCCCTCTCGCATTTGCAAAAAACGGCGGGACGAATTCGTTCGAGGATTGGTTCGTTCACTGGAATGGCATAGCGGATGATCTGGCTCTTCAGGTAATGAAAGGCGTGGCAATGCCTATTTGCGATTGTGGGAAGCCGCATTGGGTTATCATGATGGTATTCTTGCCAAGGTACACTGGTTGTGTGCCTTTTACACCTCTGTTGCCAAGGACTCAGGTCAGAACTCCGCTGCTTCTTAACATGGTGACAGGCCTACAGTTGAAATCGAGGCCATACGTAATTCGAGAGCTATTTCGATCACTGCTAGTTTGACCCCCCCAATTGGGCCAACCAGCTGTCATGGGGACCGGGGCTCTCTGTTCCCTTGGAGTTCCCTATGCAAGTTTTGCAGTGGAGTTTGCAGAGCGAGAACCCTCTAGCTACATCCTTTCCCCTTAGTATTCACGAGCTTACTGCGGGATTAACATTTCGGCGATCCCTTTTCCTTTTATGGACCGGCTAGGGAGGTGACGGCTGGAACCACTCGGCTCACGCCTTGAAAGACCCACCTTCTCTTATTTGGTCAGCATGGTCAGGAGATCCCTTAAGCTCTTGTCTATGCAGCTCTCATTTCAAGTCTGTGCTGGCTAGGACAAAACCAATATAAGGATCCATTTTCCAGTCAGGCATTTTCACGTCACTTTCTAATGATGTTATAATCCGCATTCATTCGACCATGAGCCTTTTTATAGTTCGTCCTCTGAGGCGTACGTGCGATTTAGCACGCCTATTCTAGGTGGACCTGCGAGATGGGGGGAGCAATCCTCCCGGGTGCCACCGGTCCGTTAAAGCTAAGCCGTAGCATCCCAATCAAGTCTAATCTAAATTAATTGTTCTTTAATTTATTATTTGTTATTATAATGTTTAACAAACTTTTTTAATAATATATCTATAAATATATATTAATATTTTTTAATATAATATATATATATATATATAAGAATATTCCTCCATTCATTTCATCAAACATCGTTGCAAAAGACAAAAAACAACGCATTAATCTACTCCATAACCAATCTCCTCAAGCCAAACTATTCCGCACTTAGCCGCGCTAAACCACACTAATCCGCAATAAGCCGTATTAAAACACGTTCATCCGCACTAATCCATGTAAGGCTACGTTATTTCGCGCTTAGGCCGCATTGTTCCGCAATAAGCTAAGCTCAACCGCCCTAGTTCGGTTGCTCTATTTCTAGCCGCGTTTATCTGCGCTAGCAACATTAAACCGCACACTACTCCATACTGATCTACATTAAGCCGCATTCATTCGTTATAAGCGGCTTTAAGCCACACCGAATTTCATTAAGCTACGCTAATCCGTACTAAATTTCATTAATACACGTTGCTATTAGACTGCACTATTCCGCGTTAATCTGTGCCAGTCAAAACTGCATTAGCTCATGCTAAGCCGTATCGAGCCGAACCAACGCACTCTACTCCGCACCGACCCACGTGCATCCGTACTGGTGCACGCTAAGCCGCATTAAGCCGTACCGATCCGTCCTAATCCTCACAAATCCCTTCCTCCTAATAATAAACGATGCCTCCCCCCCCCTAATATAAAAAAAAATCGGCCAGCAAAACAATTTCTATTATTAGGGGTCCCCTGGATCTGGAGGTCAGGTTTTGAAGGTGCCTCTTGTTTTGTGTAAGCTTGTCTACAACTGTGGTCCCCCTATTCCGGTCTGAAAAATAGCATCAAACGTACATGTCCGAGTAAGGAATTTAAGTAGCGGGAGTTGAGGTCATGTTTTGTTGTTTTGGGTTACCGGTTTTGGATCACATAAAAGGACCTTTTGGTTACGGGTAAAGGAAACATACTCCCGGAGCTCTGACTCGAAAGTCGCAACTTTGTAGTACAGCCGTAGTAAAGGAAACGTGCTCCCGGGACGCTGTAATGGGACTAGATTTGAGTACGGGCAGGACAATACCTACTTTAGAATAGTTTAATATTGGCTATTCTAAAAGTACCCGTAAAAGTAGTATTCCCGGATTTGGGACTTCTGAAACAATTATTTATTATTAGGGAGACCTTTATTAATAGGGGGAAGTGATTAACCAGCGAGCCTCATCGAGCCGCGCCGTTCCGCACCACTCCACGCTCAGCTGCGCTCAGCTGCGCTCATCTGTGCTGGGCTGCACTCCCTCGTGCTAAGCCGCGCCGTGCCGCATTCAGCAAAGCTTAATGAGCCGCGTTGTGCACTTAAGCCGCGCGGTTCCGCGTGAATCCGCCCTCATCCGCGCTGCATCCGCGTTGTCGCGGCGTGAGCCGTTTTGAACTACACCAAGTCGCATTAACCCGCGCAGCCGCTCTGATGCGCGCTGATCCGCGCCGGTCCACGTGAAAGCGCGCTGATCGGCGTTGATCAACATTCACCCGCATTGATCAAATGCGAATCCCAAACGACAAAGTGCAGCAGATGTGATAGGGAGGAGGTTAAAGCTCGGAAAGTGCATCGAGCTTTGGAGGTAAAGGGATGGCAAGACCCACCGGAACCAATTTGAGCATTCTCTGGTTTCGTCGGGACCACTTCAAAATGCGGTTTTCTGCAAAACCCTTACGGCCTTACGAAGGATGCAGGAATAGCTTTTATATATATATATATATATATAGGATTTTCAGGTTTTGTCTGGCTTCAGCCTCCGAAAGCGCAAGTCAGCAAGTAGAATTTGCGAAAGCGCAGTTTTCACCGTTCTGTGTTATGGAGTAAATCTTATATAGTTTAATTGAGTAAACTTTACTCTTATTAACAATATGCATAATAATTATATCTTCTAAATTATCCATATAACGCAACTCATACACCCAAGCACAACAGACGCAAAGAGAGCGACGGCTTGGTGTGCATACCATTTGGCCCAGGAATGCGTACGTCTAATGCTCCAAACATGTCACAGTTAGTGCTACACAGCGTGCGCAAAGATACACCTCCGTTGAGAATCACCCCGATTCGCCCCGAGCAGAAAATGCTACGGCCACAAGCAAAACCAAAAACACCTCAGCACATGACATTTTGGAGATGTGGCGCGGTGGTTTCGCACGGTTCAATCAAAACAGCCTCAAGAACACAAACAATTCCTGATTCATATTCTCCAATCTCGCATCTCTTCCCAGAAACTCATAATTTCTGGTTCCCCCTCAAGCCCCTTGTATGATACCTCGACCTGTGGTCAGAGGATGATATGTAGATACATATGTTCATATATATATATACATATAGTAATTGGGTCATTCGGCTTGGCCGTTTTGAGGCACTTCCGAGGTCTCCGGCAACGGTCTCCGGGCTTTGAAAGGGCCGGCGAACCGAATCGACGGGGGAGTTCCTGACGCCCCATGTTGGAGATTTTCTGAGCAAGAGCTTGGGGTTCTGCCCAAACGAAGCCACCCAAAGCTGGGTGGTTACCGGTTTTCCCTGAACACAAAGATTTGGACGTCCCTGGGCGTTTGAAGCCCTTTTTCTTTTTGGCGTCCCTTGAAAAAAGCAACCCCAAAATTGGGGACACTCAACAAAACACAAAACAACTGTTTGCCGCTATAAAACCAAAGCGCTTCCCCCAGAACTGACACACCAAAAAGGCATCTGACCGCATGTTGGGCACGTCTAAGAATTAGACTGCTCTCAGCATGGCGTTTCAAGGGAAACCGACAGGAAGGAAGCAGATGACTTTTAAAGGCCCTACATTCTTAGGATGCAGCGGATTGATTGGACGCTCGCCCGGGATGTTGCCCTTGGGTAGGGGGGAGGGGGGAGCCGACCGCAAATCCATCAGGTCAAATGGCCTACGCTACACTTCAAGACACATCAAGTTTTCAGATTATGATATTTTTTTTGTGACATGAAGATATGTCAAAGAGAGAAAGCCTGGCCCCCGCCCAACGAAGTAGTGCCGTGTTAGCTTCTTGAAACTCGTCTCCAACGGTTTTTTCTGACCCAGACTTCTGCTTCAGGTGAAGATTTGCCGCAAACACCGCAAGAGGTGGAACCCGAAGCAAGGACCTACGCGCATGATGGGCACATCTTGCGATCCTCTCACGGAACCTTCAGGGGTGAGCTCAGGGAGGGGGTAGAAAAAAACGCCTCAAAAGCTCAGTCCCGGAAAAGAAGAAGAGAACCTGGCTGATCTTTGCTTGGTCCTCCAGTAGAGAGGTTAGAATAAGGGTACCAACCTTTTTCTATTTTAGTAGGGGAACCCGGGGAGCTAGAAAGAGAACCTGGCTAATCTTTGTTTCGGGATTTTGCGCAGAAAGTGATGCGGATCTCCTGTGGTTAGTACCCCTGAACAACATCCACCAGGGGTCTGGTTGGGGAACACGCCTTGGCCAAGGTTTAACGTAAATCCGGAGGACGCCTTTTCAGAGGTCATACGCTCCCTCCCCCCGACTTTTTGGACTGAACTTTCACGAGTGTGCCCACTCTTGCCGTGAACCAAAGCGAAATTGAGGTTGCAAGATCTCAGACCTTATTTCTGTCAGGGCTTGGTGTGTCTTTTTTTTCGGCTTTCGTGGGAACATTGGCACTCATTGGCTACTTTGCTCCGGAAGGTGGCTCATCCAAGGAAGTTTGGACTCTTCCCGTTTTTAAGAGGGGTGCCCTTGTGCCGTACCTTTCTTGGGAGGAGTTTGGCATTCCTCCCGAAGGAAACTACACCTTCTGCATTTCCGGAAATCGTACGCTTAAAACGACACCCTTTCCAAGAGGGCCAGGATCTTACCCACGCGCTGCATCCGGACTGAGCTCAGAAAAGCATGGTGCCCTGATCTCTTTCGCGCTGCGCCTTAGCGCAAGCTGGCCAAACCTCTCCAAACCAGAGCGAGCAGCTTGAATATCATATCCACATTGCCATGGAAGCGGAGAGGTCCCGTAAAAGGACACGGGTTTACCAAAAAGAGCTTCCCTCAATGTTGCCGCAAGCTATGTGGTAAGATCAATGGTTTGGAAGCGCAAGCGAATGGACGGTAACGGGGGACACCTGCGTGGTGCTACAAAATATGCAATCCGCAGTCAGTGGGTACACCCTGACAACAGTCCTTGATCCCTGCAACAAGCCTCATGGTCGTGCGCAGAGTTTTTGGGCCCCAAAGGAAGACTCGGGGTGTGTAAGTGTGCACTTCCATGCTCGGTTGCTGTTGACCTCCCCCCGCAACAAGTTCAACTCTTTGGGGGTTTAGTGGAAAACCCCTTGATTTCCCGAAAAGTTGAAGTCTACAGATCCAGCCCACTAGCAGTTAAGCATGTTTGTTGGTACATGTTTTGAGATGCAACCCCCTACGCTTGTAAGGGTCATTTTCCCTCGCACCGAAGCCGAATTTCCCCTCTGGAGTTAGACGCGGGTTCAAAGAGAAATCGAGGTAAACGGGCTCCACGTGGGGTCATGCCAAACAAACCCATGCCATAGCCAGAACTCCTGCACATGGCTTTCTCGGGAGCTTTCGCATGGTCTTACCCTACGAAAGGGTTGACTCCCTAGCCCAAGTGAGGAGTTTCAACCGTGACACATGCTTCCTACTTCTGCACCGAACTAGATCTGCAGTTGCCACACACAAGCAAAAACAAAGAATCGCTAAGGGACCTGGGGGAGCTTGCAGATCGACTCACCACTTCTGGGCCCGGACGTTCTCCATGTGCTGGTAGATGATGGTCACAGCTAGCCTCGCAACAAGAGGCACACAAGCAAAGCCTTCCAAACAAAAGCGATGCAGGACCAGTTCTTCTCCCTGGGGCTTTCTAAAGTCTGGGAGAGCATGGCGAAAGGAATCCTTCATGTCCTTACCTGGGATGGAAGCTGCTATGCAGGGTTGCTCCACCAGGCGGGCTATGGAGAAAAAAGAAGAAGGTGCCTTTTCCAAGTCTTTGCTGATCATCCCCGAGTTGTACGTAGTCGTGTCCAAAATACGACATGTTTACTCCAAAAGGCGTCCTCACAATTTCAAGACACGCCTTACGCCAGGATCTGCCTGTTTGCAAGGAATCGATCTCTCCTTTCGATGGTTCCGTTCCCTCCTCGCCATTCCAAACGAGGATGAGACACACCACCTTGCAACACATATTGCGAATGGCTGATTTCCACACACAACTTCACAGAGACGGCGTAATTTTTGAGCCACAAACATGTGCGGCTGACATGGGAAAGTGAGTCTGTCGCACGTCCCAGCATGGGCTGGCTCTGACCGATATGTCGCCATCAGCCAGTCCGTTTGGATTGATTGAATTCCACAAATATCCAGGAACTTTTTGGCTGACAAATCGTCACGTAGAGTGGAATTCGCTGCTCCGAGCAGCCGGCTCTTGGTGAACTGCTTGATTCTGACAGGATAGCCGACCCTCAAGACCTTTGATTTCAATACCCTCCTTTTGAAACCTCATGTTGCAAAAGGGGGCTCCGCTATATCTGGACATGCCCATACGTTCACACAATACATCTACAACTACTACAAACTCACCAGTTTGAAGTAAGCAACCTCGAAATCACACCTTCATGCATGAGTGGAATCCCTCATTTTACCGATCGGTATGCTGGCTGAACAATCAGGTCAGCATGTTCACAGGACAATTGCCTCGAACGTGGACTCCTGGCTTACCTAAGGATTCCTTTGGCCCAGTCCATGGTTGTGTCGATGCTGAAGGAACGTAAAGGCAACGCCTTGTGGGCTCACCTTCAGAAAACTCACGTTGACCTTGGGCGAACAAACCCGTGTTTTATTCATATGGGGGGGTGTTCCCCACTAGGCTTCAACGGCCCGTCCAAATGGGTATGGGTCAAAATTAAACCACCAAGGATTGGACCGCAGCTTTTAGGCCTTTCCATTTTCCAGGGCAAGCCATTGTGGGCCCACATTTTTGACAGCCATTTGAACATGCTCCGAATCACCGACCGGAGCCCATTTTTGACCAGCCAACTTTTTACCAAGACCGGCACCAAAATGGCTGCCCCTGGCAAGTGGAAACATGGACCAAAACCTGCGGTTTGCCCCTCCTCTTTAACTTTGACCCACAGCCATTTTTTTTACCCGAGGCAGTGGCAGGATTGGGCCCACGTTTTTGACCCCCAGCCATTTGAACATGCTCCGAATCACCGACCGGAGCCCATTTTTGACCAGCAACTTTTTACCAAAACCGGCACCAAAATGGCTGCCCCTGGCAAGTGGAAACATGGACCAAAACCTGCGGTTTGCCCCTCCTCTTTAACTTTGACCCACAGCCATTTTTTTTACCCGAGGCAGTGGCAGGATTGGGCCCACGTTTTTGACCCCCAGCCATTTGAACATGCTCCGAATCACCGACCGGAGCCCATTTTTGACCAGCAACTTTTTACCAAAACCGGCACCAAAATGGCTGCCCCTGGCAAGTGGAAACATGGACCAAAACCTGCGGTTTGCCCCTCCTCTTTAACTTTGACATTGTGGGCCCACATTTTTGACCGCCATTTGAACATGCTCCGAATCACTCGGAAGCCCATTTTTGAAAAGCCAACTTTTTACCAAAACCGGCACCAAAATGGCTGCCCCTGGCAAGTGGAAACATGGACCAAAACCTGCGGTTTGCCCCTCTTCTTTAACTTTGACCCACAGCCATTTTTTTTACCCGAGGCAGTGGCAGGATTGGGCCCACGTTTTTGACAGCCATTTGAACATGCTCCGAATCACCGACCGGAGCCCATTTTTGACCAGCCAACTGTTTACCAAAACCGGCACCAAAATGGCTGCCCCTGGCAAGTGGAAACATGGACCAAGACCTGCGGTTTGCCCCTCCTCTTTAACTTTGACATTGTGGGCCCACAGTTTTGACCCACAGCCGGTAAAAAGTTGGCTTTTCAACAATGGGAATCCGAGTGATTCGGAGCATGTTCAAATGGCGGTCAAAAATGTGGGCCCACAATGTCAAAGTTAAAGAGGAGGGAAGCCCATTTTTGAGCCGCCAACTTTTTACCCGAGGCAATGGCAGGATGCCGGTGCCGCTGCCAATGGCCCCCAGGAAGTCCGCCACGATGGTCAGCATGCCTGGCGGCGGGTCTCGAAAGATCCTGACTGGTTTTGGGTGGCTTCCCTTTTCCGTTTCGCCTGGAAAACAAAACAAAACAAAACAACAACAATATATATATATATTATATATTTACAGAGTTCAGTAGTGATGGATTCCCTTTCAAACGAACAACGGGAAAAAACACACACAAACAACATCTTAAGCAAATGGACGTTTGTAGAGCAAGCTACCAGTGTTTGTCACAACCACGGAAAATCCCTCAACTTCAGAATGCTCTCCAGTTGCCAGTCCTTGCTGGCCAACGTCGCAAAGGTTAACATGGGGAAGGCTAAAACCGATTTCTTGACAAACATCAACAGGGGTCCTTACACTATATACCTGAACATTGCCTTGTAAATGGTGGTTTCCCTTTTATTTTGGTGGAACAAGCCATAATTCATATGGGCAACATGTATCTTTTAAGGAGCCCTGATCAAGCTGTTTGCTGGATGGGACATTGGCGGACACCCTCACCCAGAAATCGTGTTCGTGAGGTCTGACAACTGAATCTGTGTGCGCTAAAAATGGGCTGAAGCCACGTGTGGCTCTAAACGAGTGTGCGTGAAAATGGTGGTACCGAAGAAATTGTGGCCTTCGTTTTGGCTTCCCTTTCAATGCGTAAAGAAACAAACACACCTGTATGTGTTTCCATTAGCCGGCGACGGGGATAAGCTAGTTGATTTAGGAAGCTAGGATGCTTCCAAAAGGAGGAGTTGCGCGGCCAAAATTGTAGGGTACATGAGACCCGCGTCTTATTTTGCCCCCCCCCCCCCGTTACTCTTGAGATTCGGTTGGAGGAGGCTTCTGTTCAATTCCCCACCCGAGTGAGGGCTCAGAGCCCAGTGCTGCCCTTTGGTGGAGTCTTTCTGTGGCTAGGTCCAGTAGAGAGGTTAGAATAAGGGTACCCTTTTTCTGTAGTCTATTTTAGTAGGGGAACCCTCCCCCCAAAAAAAGGGTAAAAGGGCACTACTGGGGGACCTTGTGGTTTGCAGGGCTTCCTTTACCTTTTCCCAGAAGGAGGTCTTAGGGCCAAGCAGTCGAGCATGGCGCCTTTTCTCAGGACTTTCAGCTGACACCGTCACCGTGTTCCCGTGGCCTTCTCTTTGCGCCATACCTGATGTTGAACCATCGAGATCAAGCGAGAAACCCGGGAGAGAGAAATGTTCAGCTTCCTTCCGATTGGTGGAGCCCGGTGGTTTGGTGGTTTGGGAGGGGGCTTCGAATCCCCAAACCACCAATCCAAACCACCAATGAAGGGTAACCTGAAATCTTATTGCAAAGCGACGTTCAGATAAAAGAAGAAAACCTCAAGATGTAAAACCCGAGTTCCCGAGCGGAAGGTACGTAACGCGCCGGCAGTGCCAATGCACATGCCCCCGAAGGCAGCCGCGATCGGCACGTACCTGTCCCCCAAATCGGGCTCCACTCGCCCCGTGCTTTGGCGCGGGCTTCGGCTTCGGGGCAAGTTGCAAGTGAACCACCCACAACACCCGCACGAAATGATACCTGTCGGGTGCGCAGACATGTCCTGACTTGCCATACTTCGGGCATCGGGGCAAAGGAACATCTTCAGAAACTCATACTCATCCATGTTCCCGCTTTCTTGAAAGGTTTCTTGGGCCACACTACAGACCAACCTTTCGTTTGCCCCGCTCCCGTGGTTCGGCATGTTGGCCCGCTTACCCCTCTAAGGCTCCTTTCTGGTCAATTCGGGCTTCCTGCTCAGCCGGTCTCTCGGAGGGAAACCGTTTACTCTTCCAAGCCTCCAGGATGAGTTCCCGCGTGGACAAGTCGCATGGGAGAGACTCCAACTGTCAACTACACTCCTGGCATCAAATCCTTTGATCTTTTTTGCTCTAAATTAAGTGGTCGCAGAATGACCACCCTAGCATCTCACGGAAATGCCTCGATTCTCCGACTCCTGATTTCACGCAGTTTTTCCCGGCAGCGAGCTCCAGTGTCAACACCTTCGGGGGGTCTGGTCAGTGTCCGGCGTTGATCACAACCCCGTCAAGTTTCGCACGGAATCTGATGGACTTGGCTGCTGAAAAACCCCTCGGCAAAAGGTTTACCTTTTGTGGGTTCAATGGAAAGCCCTTGATTTCCCAAAACGTTAAAGTCTAAAGATCGAACCAAGATGGGGATCCATTCCTTTTTCTGACCGGCTTTCAAGACAGCAGGGGAAGCAAAGGGCCCTGGACTGAACACATCCCCCGCACAGACCAGCTGCTTGATCCAAGATCCAAGATCCACATTCATATCGGAACAAAGGAGGACCTTTTTTGAGTTGAGCAATTTCAAAGGGAACCCTACCCAAACCTGTTGCCAGAGGGGTGAATTCCTCTGGGCAACTGGATGGTCTTGCTTGAGGACTTTTCACATGGCGTTGGCCGCATGAGCCACGCATCAAAATATTTGTTTACCCTAATTCAGGGTAATGAACATGGTGCTGTGATGGCAATGTTGCAACCCCAAAACAATGAACCGGGATCTGTTGACGACGATTGGATTTCTGGCACCCAATCATCAAGACTCAATAAAGACCAAGCACTTGAAGGGGGGCACTTTGGGTGCCGTTTGATAGCAGGGATCCTTACATTATACACCTGAACATTGCCTTGGAAATGGTGGTTTCCTGTATTTTGGTGTTCAAGTGTATGTAAGCTAACCAAACGGCACCACACAAGCAAGCGATAACTCTTTTATCCAAGCAATGTGTTGGTGCCAGGGACTCATCTTCCCCTGTCAGATGTCTACGGCTGGGTGGGCCCCATGGGCCACCCACCACAAACTCTCAAAAACTGAAGAACGGGTGTGCAGACTGATAGCGCCCGCCCCTGGGCCGGGGCCAGGGGCACCCAGGCCACAGGGGGGTCTGCCACCAGGGGAAGTGAGTCACCCACCGGCTCCGGTCACGGGAGCATGGGTGGGCCCACGCTAAGATCAAATGCATCTCCATTCAGGAGACGCGGGAGAAAAATGAACTCCTCGCAGAGTTCCTGTTTAGGGACTCTGTGCAAAGGGTCGAACCCAGAGAAATCTGGGTGCGTCAGCTCATCGGCCCACTGGTTGAATTCCCGGGGCACGTGGTTGGCCGCCAGCGAGCAGCCATGGGTGTGGAGCAGGAAGACCAGCTCCATCAGGATAGCCGCGGTGTAGGGCTTCTTGGATCCAAGGTTGAGCATCGCCATGACGTTGCCCTGATTGTCACTGCCCACCGGGAGTCGGACCCGGGAGGACAGAGGGCCTTGGTGCGTGAGGATCATGTTACAGAGGAAGAGCGTGCCCAGCATTTCCAGAGCCGCAATCCTCCGCTTGGGATCCCCATTCTTGAATGCCCACGGGTACTCCTCCACGTGGATCTGCTCGTGGAACCAGTACACCTCCTTCTTCTCCGGCTCCACTTTGTTGGAGCACCAGCCTCCCACAAATGCCAGTCCTTCATCCGAGGCGCTAGCATCGCTGCAACCCCACCAAGAGGACTTCGGCAAGTAAGGGGAGTACTGGACGAAGGGCGTGTTGAAGAGGAACCGCAGCATGAACGCCAGCATCCTGACCACCTTAGGGGGTTTCCCCACCGTGGTGGTGGCCATTTTCCAGGCCCACAGTGGCTGAAGCATCGACTTCGCCAGCGGACATGCAGCAGTTGCCCATTGGATGCGGCCCAGGGCCTTCTCGATGTCCTTTGAGTGCATCGCCTGCCCTTCCACCATGATCTGCAAGACCTCCATCACCAGGATGTGTTTGTTGGCGGCCATGAGAACCTGCGGGATGTTCGGGTGGACCACGAAGCCCAGCCACGTGTTGACCTCCGCCAAATGTGTCTTCTTCCAGCTAAGCGGGGTGCCCAAGGCCAGGAGTGTTGCCAACAGCGCCACCGCCAAGTTCACTGCCCCCTTGCTGCGAATCCACTTGAGGGAAAAGTGCGTAGAGGACCCTGAGTAGAAGGGCTGCCAGGCGTCCCCAGTAGGATTGGGCACTGGCCATGCCGTATGTGCCTACCTTGTTCACCCACCATTCTTCCCCCAGTGAGGCCACCTGGAACCGCCAGTCCTTCCTGAGGACCTTCACTCTCCGGTGGGCCTTGGTGACGTCCGCCTTGAGCAGCACCCACCTGGTGCCCGGCTCCGGCCATTGCCAGCCCTCGGGTGGAGGTTTAGCGACCTCCCTCTCGGGGCCGGGGGCACCCTGAGAGGGAGGTCCCTCCTCAGCTGCCGCATGTAGCCAATGAAGAGCTTGTACCCCATCCAGCACCGTCGGAGCCGTCGTGAGCATGAGCACGCTGTCGTTGTCCGTGTCCTCCCTTACCCGGGGCTCCAGGTCCTCCAAGCCCCACAGGGTCTGCTCCGCCCTGCCCCTCACCGGCGGCGGGCCTCCCGGTTTGGGGAACCATCTGAGAATGCTCCACGTTCTGCAGTTGGGGCCGCCCCCCACAAAGGCGACCTTGCCCGCCATGGCCATGGAGCACATTGTAGAGTATGGCTCGTCTCCCAGCATGTCATGTCCAAGATCGCCACCCTTTCGCCTAATGTCCACTGCCCAAATGTACTCCGAGAAGGCCGGGTTGTAGGCATGGAGGTAGGCATCCAGGGCCCCCGCGTCGTCCGTCCCAGCGTACAGCAGGATGAGGGTCGGCTTCGACGACTCCGGCACCGGTCGTGGCGTCCACCTTAGTCTGGACCTCAGTCTTTCCGGGGTGTCTTGCATCCAGGGGAAGGTGGGGCTTGTCCCCCCAGGGGTTTCCGTGTGTCCTTTGTCCGACCCACTGGTCGTCTGGCCCTGGGCTTGCTGCTTGCCCTGACGGTTCTGCCCGCCCTTGGAACGCCCCTTGCTGGGCGGATCCCCACCTCTGGGTCTCTCTGGGGGTTCTTCCCACTGCCTCGGTGGGTGCGGGGGAAAAGGGTGCTTCCGCCCTTCTGGAGTGCCCTGGCTGGATCCACTCCCTTTCTTCGGTGGAGGGGCTTCCGGGGCCGGTGGCACCCTGGAGAGGTCCCCTCCCACCTGCGGCCGTCCTGGCCTCCCCAACTCTGTCTGCCTTCCGCTGTGGCTCTGGTGGGATTGGCTCTCCCCCGCTGTGTGCGCTCTCAAGTCCCGGGAGGAAGAGATCACACGACTCCCACATCCGACAGGGTTGTGAGACAAAACCTAGCGGCTCCCTCCCTTCAGGATCGCCTCCTTCGCACCGAGTGGATTGCCGCCAGCCCCGACTTCTCCGGGTTGCTCAGGATGACCGACCACAAGGCCGTGGAGACATCCCCCAGGCCGTTCGAGGAGCTGAAGCGCATGCGGGGGGTGCTCGCCCAGGACCAGCCGCTCATCCCTGGGAGGCTCCGTTGGCTCCACCCTCTTGTAGAACTCCATCCGATCGCGGATCCACTGATTGTACAGCTGCTCCGGGGGCTCGTCCATCACCAACTGCAAGCTTGCTCACCACTTCCCAGGCACTGATGCTTGGCAAGACCAAGCCACACTCCACGGAGCCCCAAAACATTGGGGAAGTGCTCTTTTGGCCCGCGACCGCCGTCACCGTGGCCGTGGTGATGGGCGGGTACCGCCTGGTGCCCTGGCCTGGGGTGCGGAGCGTGGTGTCTGCCCCCCCAGGACCTTGGCCTTTGGGCCGCCTCCTTGGCCGCTTCCCCCCCGGGGCCAACGGCACCCAAGGGGGGGGAGCAACCCAGCTGCCGGATGAGGTCCTGGGAGTAGCCCAACCTGTCATACAAGGCCCCCGCCGCCTCCTGCGGGACCTGCTCGACCCAGTCGTGGACCACATTGCAGCGCCAATTGACCTTCACCTCCACCATCGACGACTTGCTCAGGCCCGCCACCAACTTGGTGTAGACCGAGTCGAAGGCCTTCAGCGAGGCCAGCGGGAGGGTGATCCGTTCGTCGCAAATTGCCCTGAACCGCAGCGCCTCCTTACTGTCATGGATGGGGGCCACCGGCATCTCCATCACGGGCAACGGGCAGTTCACGATGAAATTCTTTGCCGCCAAGAATGTCCCCATCTCCTTGAAGATGTAACTCCACTCCTCCTTGCTGTGCGGCTTGGGGATGCCCAGGCTCGCCAGGAAGGGCACCGCCTCCTTCCTCATCTGGATAATGTTGCCCATCCACTTGTCCGAGGTCGAGCCCTCCGCATTGCGTTGCGTCTTCACAATCAACGGGAAGGTGGTCCAGGCCGAGTAGATATACTTAAATCTGAACCTGTGGGCGTACACTCCCCTCAGGCTCGGCAGGTCCCACGTTCTCGTCTGTCTGGTCCAAAACACACCATCACCCCTCGCCCAGAAGATACCAACCACCTGCTCAGGTGCCGGGCGCTCACCCCGGTTCACCTGAGCCCGGATGCGAGCTTAAACTGCAGGTCAGCGCCCCGGGGGATCTCACCGCTTGCGTGCTTCCTCCAAACCCCCCCAAACATCCGGAGCCTGGTGCCGCTTCATTGCCCAGAGGATAAGGGACAGCTTGCCGTCCTCAGCCTGCTGGGACATGGGCTGGTCCCCCCCAGGGCCGGTGGCACCCTTGAAAAAGGGCCGGTGCCTCCAGCTCGGGCATCTCCTCCAGCAGTGCCTCCTGGTGCCACGGGTTCTGAGCATCTTGATGTAGGGGACATACTTCTCCTTGATGTCCCCCACTGGGGGGATGTCGTCGGGGTCCTCCAGCTCCAGGGGCAGAATAGGCCCCTCTCCAGGGCCTTCCTGAGATCATCCGGCCACGCCGACACTTCCAAGGGCTTGAGAGTGTGGTTGAGCATCCATGCCTGGTTGGTGCCCTGGATTCGCTTGAATGGAGCCCATCGCCTCAGCCAATGCCTGGCTGGCGTCAACGCCCTTCCCCTCCAAGTACTGGTCTCTCAGCTTGGCCTTGAAACGCTCCAAGTTGACCTTCCTGAGGGCTCCCTCGTTGGCCACCTCATCTGACGGCAGGGCCTGCATGCCCTCCTGGATAGGCGCCAGTGCTGGGTCTGGGTCTGCCCCGGCAAGGAGTCCGCCCCCTTCCAGGCACCCTCGGCCACCTATGAGGCGGACGGCATCACCTACAACCTGCTCATCTTGGAGGGCAAGCCAATCTGGATCCAGCAGCGGGAATGGGGAAGCCTGGGTGCCGTTGGCCCCGGTGGTACCCTGGCACAGGCCGACCGCAACTTGGTGGACGGCACGGTCTTGGGGAGAGCCCCTCCAAAAACGGACTCGGCTGATGAGATCACCATGGCAGATGCGGTCCCGCTTAACATGCGGGTGGACATCCGGCAGGAGATCCTGTCCATGGAGGCGGATGACGAGGCGATGAAGGTCCGGGAAAGCCAGGAGATCCGGGTCAAAGTGCAGCGGAGAGGCGGAGGCTCAGAGCTTCGAGCTCTACCATCCCCAGGTGGACCAGGCGATCAGGAAGAAGGCCTTGCGGGAGCAGCGGGAGCCGACCCGGAGGAGCTCGGCCAGGCGGCTGCACAAGGAGTTGGTCACTGAGGAGCTGGACAACGAGATGGCGATCCTGCTTGGCTGCCTCTGGCCACCCCGTTCCGCATGCCTTGCACATGAACTTGTAGTCGGAATGACCTGCGTCGAGCCTGTACATGCGCTGGGTGCCGATACACGCCTTGTTCCTCTGGAACTGCGAAGCCCAGACCTCCTCCTGGCGGAGCTGGATCTTCATCGGGACGTACGCCTCCAAGATGCGGATCACCAGGTCCTCCGTGAGGTTCTTCCCAACAAACTTGTAAAACAGGGAGACCGCCTCCTCCACCGTGATGTCTCTCAGCAAGGTGGCCGCCGACGCTGGAAGGACTGGAAACAAGTCCGGGAGGTCCACCAGCTTGAAGTACCCAGGTTTTCCGTCCACCGGCACCAAGGTGACAGGTTTGTTGGCCTGAGACGTAGCCTTCTGAGAAGCCGCCACAAAGCCCTTCAGTCTCTTCGTGGGTGGCGTCTGCGCCTCCTCCGGTGGTGTGGCCCGCTCCGTGCCGTCCGCATCCCCCATGTCCCTGTCACCCTCCTCGGCGGGGCCAGGGGCACCCAAGCCGGGAGTCGGTGTGGCAAATGCCACTTGGAGATGCTCCAGTGCACTGGAGAGGTCATTCATCACATTGGTCGCCGAAGCTGACGGGGGGGCCTCGGGCTCGTCCAAAACCAAGCCGGCCGCCACTGCCGCCTCCCGTGTGCGAATGTCCTGGGCCTCCGAGGAAGCCATTGCTTGGTCGGGGTTAAGTTCGAAAATGCAAAAGATCAAAGTTTTTCAATCAGCTTGGGTTCCAGGAACCCAGAGCAAAGCTTGAGCCAAAATGGCACATGCCATTATGGTCAAGCATTCCACACACAGTTCATGTTTCCACATGCGTTTCAACATTAACAAAAAAGCCATGTGTCAAATGGTGGCAAAATGGAGATCTTTTAAGGAGCCGTTTGACAGGTTCGCTTAAACCCGGTAGCCCTGGGCACAGGTTCAAGACGTGCAGCAGGGACTTGTCCCTGTAGCCTTTGAACCTGACGCTCCCAGTGCTCGCCATGGGTGACGCATCTCCCTGGCAAGTCACACTACACATGAGTCACAATGAAAACCCGGGCATTAAAACGGTCTACCCAGAACCATGTCAAGAATTACCAAGGCAGCTACACAAGCCACCCAAAACAACCACCAGACAAAACCACCACCACTACTGCGGCCGCCGCCGCCACCACCCCCACCCCCACCCCCACCACGGCCGCCGCCACCATGACCACTTGACGGCCAGTGAACCTGTGATCTGCGCGTTGGCTCTCCCTTTTCAAGGTCATTCATGGGGAAAGATACAAAGCAACCTGGAAGGCTGGTTGAGGCATCGCTTTTCTGCAACAATCTCTTGGGGCCATCTTTCAGTGTCCCACGGGTTCTCACAAAGTGGGCTTAAACACTGGGCTTATTCTACATACACAAACACACACGCGCATGGGTGTGTCGTATTTCTTTTTTGGTGGTATTCCCTCTGTGGGTGTTTCAAAGGGAATCGGAAATCGAACAGGAACGCCGAAGTCATGTTGGGGGGTCTTCTAAAAAAACATACACACCGGTCACACGCCACAACCTTCCCCTCAATCGACCCGGTCCGGGGCCGGCGCATGATTTGCCGGTCCCGGAGCATCTTCGCCACGTCCCGGGAGGACGAGCCACTGACCTGCGGCCATTTCCAGGTTGGGTGGGTGGGTGGGTGGGTGGGTGGGTGGGTGGGTGGGTGGGTGGGTGGGTGGGTGGGTGGGTGGGTGGGTGGGTGGGTGGGTGGGTGGGTGACTTTCCGCTTTCCAGTGGCAGGTGAATTTGTAATTCTAAACTTGCGAGGGAACACCCTGAGGGGAGAAACCTTGGACACTTGATTAATGGGCTTGTGGTGAATGCTCAGCGTCATTGACGCAACTAGCAGCTAAAAGTCCCCGACAAGCTGAACATCTGAGCAAGAGCGAACACGTTGCCAATTGCAGAAACATCTATGAGAGCTATCCCCGTTCTATGGATTTTGAAGTGAAGCCAAGAGCAAGCCAACCATTTTATGGGGCCTCCTATTGCAGACTCCTCTCAGTTGCCATTTGAGTACGGGGCCAACTGGTACTGCAAAACACACACACACACACAGGCAAGGTAAGCCAGGAGAGACAAAGCGCAAGCGCTCCTCCTGTGCTTTCCATTGCAAGCACTGGCTTGCTGCCCCAATGCCATGCCCTCGCGTTCTCAATCCCTGCCCAGTGACCTTGTAGAAACAGGAAAGCTGTGCCAGCTGGCAGCTTTTAGACTAGGTCCTCCAGAGGAGAGGTTAGAATAAGGGTAGTCTATTTTAGCAGGGGAACCCTCCCCCAACAAAGGGGAACCCTCCCCCAACAAAGGGGAGAGAAGGGCACTGCTGGGGGACCGAGTAGAGGAGACCCACAAAACCAAAAGTTGGATTTAGAGTGTGCCACCGAACAACTGGGTTTGGAATGTCGCATTGACGCATCCTAAACCCATTGATGCGACTGCCAATGGGTGGCACGAACTAGCATGAAAACCACCCCACAGCATCATGCTCCATCCTTGAGCCTTGGACGTGCGACGTGCTGTGGGTGCAACACACAAATGTAACACTCTCTTAGCATGCCTAAATATGTTTATCTTGATAACAGGAATAAGTGCATCCTCCAACATCACATTGCATACCACCCCCCTCACCGGGGACAAAATCAACAATAGGAACAACAAGCAACAAATAATGCAAGTAAAAGCAACAAACAACACACAAAGATCACACGCCAAGCAGGAACACACTCACACGCTTCATTTTGCTTGGAGCTGGCAAACGAAAGCGCAAGCGTCGCCTCGATGAAGTACTTGGAGAAAATCGCGCAGGAGAAGAGCCTAGTCTCAATGGAGGTGCACTTTGTCCAATGGAGGTGCTAAATGGGTATGGGTCCAAATTAAACCACCAGGTACCGCAGGGTTTAGTCCATTTTGTCCATTTGCCAGGCTTTCATTTTGGGTACCAAAATGACCACGAGGTTGAGGGTAAGTAGGGACACCCATGACAATACTACCAGGATATGGGTTTTGGGGTTTTGGAAGACTACTTGCCTCTGGTTGGAGGGTAGCAGTTTCCACATTGGACTTCCGTAAACCATTTTTGGGAGCTGGCCATCGTTGGACTTCAAAGGGAAACCACAACTAGGGGGGGGCACACCTAGATAGAGCAGCTGATGTTTTGTGGCGAGCTGATGCCCTGGATTTTCGGTCCGTTGCCTCAAAGATCTACTCGAGAGCCGGCAGAGCAAACCCCGACTCTGCCTCTCCGTTCTTCGGGGAGGGGTCCTTTTCAGCATCGAGTGCGCCACAAAGCCCCCTCCAACGCGTGGCTCAGCGACCGTCTGTCTTGAGGTTTCCCTATAGGAGGCCCCCCGCCCCTCCCCTTTTTCAAGGGGATTCCTCGAATGATCCGCATGGACAAAAAAGACCCCCACAGCAAGTCAATGGCTAAGATGTGATATTCTAGGTCCTCCAGAGAGGTCAGACTAAGGGTACCCTTTCCTTTTTCTGCCGCCTATTTTAGCAGCCCTCCCCTGGGGGACCTAGGAAAGATCAACATGGTAAAAAAAAAAAAAACAAGTGCGACCCCGCGCCCGCGCAAAGCTTGGCGGCCTAGCGAATCGAGATCAGAGGGTTGGGGCCCTGGCACGAAGAGGATGTAGCAGAAGGTGTGCACTGGATCTTCCATGATGTTGGCAAAGTCGCTGGGCGGGGAGATGTAGTAGGCCAAGCCTGGCAGGCAAAAAGGACTTTACGTGAAAAAAACACATCGGCGTTGAGCATGAGAGACATACCATGTGCGTGTGTCATTTCTTTGGTGTACGTACCAAAAAGGCTTCGGTTCTCCTTTGGGTTTCCCTTTCAAACCGAAAACAAACAGGTACTTTGAAAAAGGACGGGCCCCCAGGCAAATTCATGTTCGATCGCGGGTGCTCAAACCATTGAAGTGCATCCCAAATGAGTCACCAAAACTGTCAACCTACTGAAACCAAGAATCTACTATCAATCTTGCTCTAAGGCGGGCGATTCGGCGACCAGTTCTCCCCTCGGAGTTTTGTGCCCGGCCATAGGAAAAGCGGGAGTTTGTTGGTAGCTGAAACCGACAAGGGAAGCCACCTCAAAACCAAAAGGTCGATCCGCCCAACCAAGCACGCAGGTTCGGATTGGGACCACCCCCCAAAACCCGTGTCATTCTTTGTATCAAAGTCTCAAGAATTTCAAACCACGTCAGCCGGAGGCAACTCTGCCACACCTCCAACTCCCCAACATCCGACTCGACTTTTCTCGGCCTCCAATGGGGATGGCCTCTCCGCCATAGTCCAGGTCTTGCCACTGTCCAAGGAGGTTGACCAGCATGTTGGACTTGAACCTCAGACACTTCGACAAATCCGGAGATCCTCATTGTTTCTGTCCGATTCCTGGATGTGGTTCGTTTACTTGCAATGTTTAGGAAATCCATCATACTGGTTGCAGCGATTTGAGTTAGTTATATTTTCTTTTTAACTCCTTATCGTTTTGCAGTGAGCCGTGCCAGTTTTGGACAATATCTTTTCATTACTCGTCAGGGTTGTGGGAATTGCCGATTTTCTACCACGGGAAGGCCTTCTCAGTAACGAGTTGTTCGCTTCCGGCAAGGTTTCCCTGTATCGCAGTGCTTCACAAATGCACGAACTCCCCAGAAACTGTGTTTGGCTGTAGCGCTTCACAAATCCAGCAACTTTTCGGGGGGAGTGTTTGGCTGGGGTGTTGCATCTGGTGGCACAAGAGGCCTAATCACCTGCAAATGGCTGACTGATTCCAAAGTTGTTGAAAGCACTACCCGTCCCAGAAAACCACCACAGAATCTAGAAGTCCCACTTCCTTGTGGCGGCAATAGTTTTTCAGTACACACTGGATTGACAATGGCAACACCAAGCCGTACCCTGGACGAAATGCAGGCGGGTTGGATTCTTTTTGCACTCGCCCAGCCCTGAATGAGAGGTTTTGGGGTTGGTGGTGGAAGGGGTGAGTCGAGTGCCTTATTTTAACACATCACCTTGCCTGGGAAACAGCTCGCTGTCGGAGGATCTTCCACACACAACTCACCCCTTCCCTGGATCCAGAAGTAGGTCCTGGTCAGCTCTACTAGTGTACCGGTGTGCCGCTTCAAAAAAACAACAACAGGGCATGTGAGCCATGTTCAAAATTTGCAGCTCCAAAGGACATAGAGCAAATAGCGAGTTCCCTAGTTTGTCATTTGGTCCGAAGAATCTGACGTCGGACTCACAGAAGGCGCATCTACTCTTATCAGAATGTATATGTCTAGACGCGGAACATGCTTGCCAAAAAGCATCATGCTCAAGGTCAACGGCTTCTGTTTAATGAACTACACAAGGCAAACTAAACACGGCTCCCTATATTCTCCATTTAACCATCACCCCACCAAAGAAAATGCACGTTAAATTGGCCCAAGAGGTAAGCCGGACAAAGCTTTTCATCCGAGCCTCATTTCCCAGGCACAATTCCACAACCGCGACGGGACCCCGGCCGGCGGTAAAGCAGCTGGGAGAAGAAGTAGAGGTTGGACACTAAGGCCTCCAGCGGTAGATGTTGGTGGCGTTTGTGGGGGGGGAGGAGAGGTTGGTAGGGTCCCTAACAAATAGTCGACTCAAAGTCCGAGCTATTGGAATCATAGTCAAAACCTGGTGTTAAGGGAGTTCACTGAAGGAGGCGGTCGCGCACATAGCGGTGGGCAACCCTGGTCAGAACCCACTTGAGAGATTGTTGCCAGGGTCACTCACCCCTTATAGTTGTGTTCCGTGTTTCCAAAGGTTGATCATCCATTCTGTCAACCGTAGTTCTTGCAAGAAATAATCATAATTCATGGCTTCGGGAATTCAAAAAGGACCCTTGGCCAAAATGAGTGAAGAACGGCTAGAATATCAATTTCTGCCTTTGCGTGTTTACGAATCTGTTTTGATGGCACCTTGTTTGAGCTGTTCGAGGCCGCCAAAGGAAGACCTGCTTTCCCGCTTTGATCGCTTGAGACAAATCATAGTGTCAGCAAACCAACCCCAACGGCAAACAACCGCGTGCTTCTTGTGTTGCAAGACTAAGAGCTGACCCACACACACACACCCAGACATAAGGGAAGTGTCCATGTTTGTGAGATGGTTCCGGAAGCCTGCCCACTTCCATGAGCGGAGAGACCGTAAGTAACAAGTCCAAATATCATATAGGCCCGACATGGGTAAGACATTCAATTACGTCTGTCGCAAAAAATTGGACCGGCCGACCGCTCAGCTGAAGCTATCAGTGTACCAAGCGCTCTTGGTACGACATTTCGAAAGCAACACCAGCGGCCAGGGGGAAAAGGGGCATCTTTTCTGGTCGTTGCTTTCAACCAATGAAAAACAGGGGACCACTCGAGGTCTTCGTCAAACGATGAGGCAAATCATGAGAGAGCAGCGCTTGAGTAAATCAAGGCATAGCTTCAAGAGGTACTTGCCGAGCTTCGGGGGGGTTGCAAAACCAAGCTTTAGACGGTTTTCACAAGGCCCGAGAGGCCCTTACAATTGAAGGCCAACTTTTGGCCATGGGAAATCAGGAGATTGGTCAAGCAGCGGCTTCACGTTTAACACGGATTTGGCTCACTCACGAGAGAGTCCCTTTCTAGTGCGTCAATTTACTTTCCCAAGCAGAAATACTCTGTGTTCCCCGAAAGGACATGCACAAATTGCATGGGTCCGGCTTAATGGGATACGCTCCCCCCTCCCTTTCCGTCCTTCCCCAAACCAACAGGAATGTTGCCAGTTGCTCATAGGGTAGTTGTTTGGTTGGAGCTGGTCCCAGTTAATAATGGACGGGTGAGGGACCACATGTCCAACGAATATGGGATTATCTCTCAGGAGACCCAAAATGAGGGCATGTCTCCTCCCCAGATCTCCCTCTATCACACAACCCTCGGCTCGGTACCCTGAACAAAAACTTTCAGCCTCATGAGCCCTGAAACTTGTCTGCCGGCTCAAGTCCCGAGCAGTTTGAAGGATGATCGAGATGTTGGAGGTGTAAAAGAGTCGGACCTATGCCGCCGGCAGCTACAAGTCGATGGCCGGCTGGAAAAGCCTTCCTTTTTTCGGCCTCTCATTGGAAAAACCTTCTGAAACCTGATGCAAAACGCCGTGCGAGCTGGAACCTGTTGGTTAGAACTCATTGAGGATGCTGAAAAGTCCTATTTTTCTCCCTGGCTAGCGTGTTGGGTGCTAATTTGGGGGGCAAGGAAAACAAAAGGCACATCACCCTTTTCCCGCATAGACATACGATGGGTGTTTCCAAACATGCGGGCACCACAACAAGTCGGCCCCCCAACTTTAGGAAAGGACATGGAGAGACACCGCTGAGCTTTCCGCGAATGGATAGATGACACACTGAAATGAGGGATCAGAAAAGGAACTTGGGGAACCTCTTATGGCAAGGGCCTTTTTCAAGATATAATTTGGGCACAAGCGCATCATGTACAGGCCATCATTCTGGGCGAATAACAATTATCCGATGGATCCAAACAAGGAACCTTCATGAGGTCACCCCCCAAATAGGTCGCCTTTCAAACTGCCCGGCCTTGCCACACCCGGAAAACATCCAACAACGATACCAAAGGAAAGCAGCCGGTCATTGCACTCAAGCTCACCCTTACTGCGTCCGAGACTCATGGTTGTCTTGTATGAGTTTGGTTTTCCCAAGCTGAAAGTGGCAGCGTCCTTCCACTAACATGGAACAGTCCCTCTAAAAGAGGATCCTCCCGGTCAGTTTCCCAATGTGGGTGGGAGGGGTACCCTTCTGGAATGCTTGAGGTTTACCCGAGTTCCCCTTCCGTATATATCACTCAAGTGCCCCGAGTGATCAAATTGGTGACGGGCGTGGGGAATTGCCAACTTCTTGGAAAACGGTCTTTTCAATGATGAACTATTTTCCCAAAAACGGGAAGTAACAGTTCTCTGGCTTTCTTTCTCATTCTCACAATCCTAAACATTGCACGGGAACAAATTGGAAAACCATGGTCATTTCCCGTCAGAAGATTGTTTCTGTTGCCACAAGTTTTACCCAAATGGCTGAGTGATCCAGATAAAAATTAGCAAGCAAACCGCCCAAATTCATTGGCACTTCGTGCCACCCCTTGTGGAATCCAAACAAGGATAGATGTCATTATCGCTTGCTGTCATGGGGGAAGGGTTTCCTGAAGTAGCCGTCCATCACAGCCTTTTAGCTTCCATAAGGGGATAACCTTTGGAACCCCAAAAAACTATCGCAATGGGGTCACCAAGTCAGGTCGCTGGGCTTTTTTCAAGGGCTTGTGTTCACTGAGTTCCCATCCGGTGAACAACCAAAGAGCAACCAACAAACTTAGCCGAAATGGCAAACAAAACTGTTTAACATCCCTACGCTGCAAAAAGGGTTGCGGCCCTAAGCCACGTACAAGGGGTCGTGTTAAGTCGCATCGACGCGCGCGAAATCACATCACTGCATGGCCACACGCACACACACGAAGTCACATCAGCGCGTGTCAAGACACATCTCTCATCATGATGTTCAAGGCAAAAAAGAGAAAAAGAGAGAAAGATAAAAATATTATACAAAAAGGACAAGAAGAGCAAAGACAGACAGATCAAACAATAAATACATGGGTGTGGGTCAATATTCTGGTGTGGAACGTTCCGCGGTGACGCGGACGTCTGGAACGAGTCAGTTACGTAAGGCTGGTTGTTCCGGACCTCTGGGAAGACATGTGTGGAGTCCTCAAGCACACGTGAGCAAGAGGCAAAACCTAAGACTACTTTGGGCGGGGGCTTCGCTATATCGTTCTGCAATGTTTCAGACACTGGTGTGTTTATGTCAAGGAAGGGTGGAAGGGGGAAAGAGAAAGAATGGAGGAAGAGAGCAGAGGAAGAGAAACTGGGAGGAAGAGAAAGCAGGAGGAGAAAGGACGAAGGGAAGAAGGATGGGGAGGAAGGGATAAAGGAATCCAGGGAGTAAGGGAGCAAGGAAGGATGGGGCAAGGGAAAAAGGAGGGTGGAAGGGAAGGGAGGAAGAGGAAGGGAGGAAGAGGAAGGGAGGACGAGGAAGGGAGGAAGAGGAAGGGAGGCAGGGCAGAAGAGGAAGGGAGGCAGGGCAGAAGAAGAAGAAAGGGAGCAAGGGAAGAAGGCAGGAAGGCAGGAAGGCAGGAAGGCAGGAAGGCAGGAAGGCAGTAAGGCAGGAAGGCAGGAAGGCAGGAAGGCAGGAAGGGTGCGCCTCCCCACAAGCTCCATGACATGCTTTTTGACGCTGGTTCCAGACTGCCCATAAGCATGGGAGGTGGAGCAGGCCCCGCACGCTGACCACCACTGATTGATGGGTAAGCGGTGGCCCGCCTTTTGTGCTTTCCGGGTGTCGTTGAGGTATCGTTCACAGTATCGTTCAGACAGCCCTCCAAAACCAGAAAATTTTGCCCATATTCTCTCAGTCCAGGGCATGTGCCAAAACCAGCTACACGTTGCGTGCGTGCGCCTCGCAGCCCGGACTGCTGTCCGGTGACTTGGTAGTTGCAAGCGAGACTTATAAACAACTTGAAGCACAGCAGCACCATGCGAGCACGAGGGGTGTGGTTTCGGTGTCGTTTTGGGTATCGTTTTGAGCAAGCAGTACTTCGGTGGCCAAAAATGCAGTTCACACTCCCCGAATGATCCGAAAAGGTGTTTTCGACGCTCCAAAACTACTTTTGGGTATGGTTTGGCGCGCCGACTGTCGACTGTGGCGCCTGCGGGTGCAAGCAAGAAGCATGAGCAGTAGGAAGGAGAGCAATCGGTGGCCCAGAATGCAGTTCACACATCCCGAATGATCCGAAAAGGTGTTTTCGACGCTCTAAAAATACTTTTGGGTATGGTTTGGCGTGCCATGAGCAGTAGGAAGGAGAGCAATCGGTGGCCCAGAATGCAGCTCACACCCCCCAAATCATCCGAAAAGGTGTTTTCGACGCTCTAAAATTACTTTTGGGTATGGTTTGGCACGCCGACCGTGGCGCCTGCGGGCGCAAGCAAGAAGCGTGAGCAGTAGGAAGGAGAGCAAGCAGTACTTTGGTGGCCCAGAATGCAGTTAATGATCGGAAAAGGTGTTTTCGACGCTCCAAAATTACTTTTGGGTATGGTTTGGCGTGCCGACTGTGGCGCCTGCGGGTGCAAGCAAGAAGCATGAGCAGTAGGAAGGAGAGCAATCGGTGGCCCAGAATGCAGTTCACACTCCTTGAGTGATCCAAAAAGGTGTTTTCGACGCTCCAAAACTACTTTTGGGTATGGTTTGGTGTGCCGACTGTGGCGCCTGCGGGTGCAAGCAAGAAGCATGAGCAGTAGGAAGGAGAGCAATCGGTGGCCCAGAATGCAGTTCACACCCGCGAATGATCCGAAAAGGTGTTTTCGACGCTCCAAAATTACTTCTGGGTATGGTTTGACCCTTCCAGCAACCTCCAAATAGCAAGCCGGGGAACGCAGTTTTGAGTAACAAGCCGGGGAGTGTAGCTTTGGTCAAAAGCACCCAATAGGCGCATCTTGAGTGTCCAGTGGCTTGTGGGTATGGTTTGGCTGGCTTGTGGGTATGGTTTTGCCCTTCCGGCAACCACAAAAACAAGGCGTGCAGTTCCGGAACCCAAAGACCAACCCCGCCTTGATAAAGTGATCGACGCATATTTTGACCGTGACTCATGAGCCAGCGTCAATATTTGCTGTGTCGGCTGTATTCATTCTACTTTAAACGAGTCCCCTATGGTTCTCCGCGTTTCGCGCGTGGGTGCAGCCTCTGCGAGGATTGCGCGTGTCAAAGCGCCCTCCCTGCGACGCCGTGCGGATTTGGAAAGTGCCCGGCGAACCCCCTGCAGTGAGCAATTTCTGCGGCAGCACGCTTTACCACCCGTCCTCTTCTCCAAAGCCTTCCGGATCACAGATCGGCCTTCCCATCCTCCTGCAGCAGCAGATCTCTGAGGAGCAAGCGCAAGCCCGCCAAGGCGTCCGCGGCCTGGCCCGTTGCGGGCCCTTTGTGTGCGCGGAAGGATGTGCGCTGAAGGAGCTGCGCGTGTGGTTGAAAAAGCAAACGCACTAGGTAGGCCTCACATTGGCTGCTCCGGGACGTTCTCGGAGTATCGATGGGGTGTCGTTTTGGGTATCGTTCTGGGCGCGTGTAGTTTCACGAAAAAAACAAACTTGCTATAAGCTAGAGCCAAGCAGGCGCACAAGAGCCTTCTCTACCTTGCGGTAGTCATGTGATCAGCGGACTAGACTATGCTTCTGGCTCCCAAGCATTGGCGGCTTTGCTTGCTGGCTGCAACTTCCAGGTCGCAAGTCGCAACTTTCAGTACCAGCGCAGTACGCAAGTTACACTTTGGCAGCTCCAGCTCGAAGGTCGCAGCGTGCGCCGGTGCCTGCGGGCGCCTGTGCGTGTGCGTGTGCGCGGGTGCGTCTGGGTGGGCCCATCTCGTGCACACATGTGCCCACCATGCATTGCCGAGGAGCATTGGCAGGAGCTGTCATGGCAACTTACCAAAAAAAGGCTCACACAGTGCAAAATAGAAGCGCGAAGCGCCAGTTGCACGTCATGCGACGTTATCGTTTTTGGGGCTTCGCTATATCGTTCCTGAGGAAAATACAAAACAAGCAACGCGAAATCGCCGAAGACATATTTTATGACGAGAGAGTTTAGCCTTTTGCTCGTTCATTTAGTGTAAGATGGGTAGATGGATGGATGAATGAATGAATGGGTAGATGGATGGATGGATGAAGCGATCAGGGGCGCGCGGCCGTGAAGGCTTCTTCGGCGGCATGGCGGGCCGCGTAAGAAGCGTAGCTACTGTGCATGTGGACTTGGTGGCTGTGTCTGGAACACGTCTGGAACGGGTCTGGAACGGGGTCTGGAACGGTTACGCGAGCGGCTTGCACTTGGTAGCAAGCTGCATGTAAACATGGTCGTTTCAACAATGTGACGACCGAGAGCGGTATCGAACCGTTACCGTATCGTATCGAACAGATTGCGGCGGGGTTGACCCTTAACATTCACAGGCCGTTCCAAAAACACATCTGTCAACAGGACCGCTGCTTAATTCCATCCAAGTCCCAATGATGATTACAAGCCACGCAGCCCCAACCACCAAAGCTCGACAAGCAAACCCCATCGTTAGCACCTCAGGCTTCTCTCGAACACCAGCCTTGACGCGTAGCATTTGGCAAACAAAGGGGGGAGTCAATAACCTACCAAATCACCTTACCGTAAATACTCTAAACTAGACATAAATATATAAACAAGGTCTGGAACGGAAGGTCTGGATCATGTTTCTAGGCAAGGTCTGGAACGGAGGTCTGGAACGGAGGTCTGGATCGCATGTGGGTTCCGGACCCTGTTCCGGACCTTATAAATTGACTCGCAGCCACATAAATAAACTAGTTGTTTGCATCCCACGCCTAGGCACAAGCAGCGTTTTCAGCTAAAGCCCCGCGAAGAATTGATGACTCCCTGTGTTTCTCCAGGGCTTATGCGCTGTCTAAGATTGGATTCGACCCTACTCTTACCTTCTTTCCAAGTCGGGCCTGTTCAAAAGGCCTGTTGTGGCTTCCGTTTGGCAACAGGGTCTAATGTTGACCCCATATCAATCAACCCTAGTGTATAAATAGCGGGGTGTCCCTGGGTGAAATGTGGGGAATCAGTGGTTGGTTGATGGGTTTAGTGGGGAATCAAACCACTTTTGGAGGGGCCTATTAATACAAACTGGTTGGTTGATTAACCCGGGGTCAACCTTCATCCCTTTTCCCCACCGAGTCTCAGCAAAAAAAAAAACGCCAGCCATCTCCGATCTCGCATCCGAGGCACGGGGTAGATGCCGCGGTGCCCACGGATCTTGTGAAACTTGCAGGACAAGTCCACCTACCGCGCGAGAGCCGGGCAACCCGGGCAAACCGGGTTGCTGTGGTTGAAATGGAATCCTTGAATCTGTGATACAAAAAACACTTCAGAAGTGGTTAGATAAATCCCGAGTGATTCCGGAACCCTGCGGGAAAACCGTGTTGAAACACCTGCTGAAACAACCTAGGCTAGGATCTGGAAGTTTAAACAACCCCATTTTCAAGTGCCCCTGTTTTTGGAAACCATATTCAGGGTGGAAACAAACCGACCGGTTGGAAAAGCAGTTTGTATCTGCACTTTGCGAGGGTTCTGAAACCTTTCCGAGGGGTTGGCGGGTCCAAGGTCTCTCCTGAACTATTCGCCAACTCTCTATGATTTGTGCGACTGGATGCTTTGGAAAAAGAAACCAAGGGCTGGTTCAGGCTTGCTTTCAAAAAGGGGCGTCTTGAGGGGATAAACCATGAACACATGTGCCGACAGGAATTCTTACCCCCTTAAGTGGTTACAAGCCACATTTTGGGGACTCACAGGTTCAGGTGGGTTATCAGGGTCACCACTAAGGCCGCAGGGTTCCTGAACTTCCAGTCGAGAATTCCAAGGATCCAATGGGATCCAAAGGTTCCTGGCCGACTTGAAGAGCACTGATCTCAACCTGCGCCTTTTCTTTTTGAAATCCCATTTGAAGTGGAAAAGTCATAGGGCCTTGATTTCAGGGGTCAACCAAAGTTGGAACCCAAGGAGCGCGGCCAGCCCAAAGCCCAAAGCCGGGCTCTTCTTCGATTTCAATTTTCGGTGGGCTATAGGCGATAGGTAGATGATGTGATGACAAGTGTCCTGAACCAACCCTTGAGGGCTAGAACCATGTGAATTGACCTTTGATGGTGTTAGCCCGGGGGAAAGCTGAGTCGGAGGTATCCTTGGACTGCCGCAGCAACTGAAGTGATCCATCTTGTTCAACCCCCAACACCCCTCCCCATCCTTTCCATGTTCTTTTTTGTCCCGGCGCATGTTCCTGAACCAACCAGCCTATTTTCCGTGATGGGTTCCACCCCCAAAGCCCTACCCAAGGGCAACATTCATGGAGTAATTACGTATAATACCCCACTCGCGTACAACCGCTGGATTCAACAAAACAAACTATACCTCATTCTTCCTATGAGAAGGGTCTGTCTCAAAATGGTGGACCCCACAAATTCGTGGTGTCCCTTGGATTTCTCTTTAAAGCAACCTGAATTACGGGTACCCTCAAGAAACGATCCCTTCCGAATTCAGAGTTGCTTGGGGCATCCTTCGGCATCTGGCGGAATCCTTCGGCCTGAAAGCCTTGGAAGTAGATCACGATGAAGAAGACGAAGAGGGTTGCTATGAGGTTAGTGATGTTTGGCGCCTCGGAGTCGTTTGCCTCGACGTTGAGAAGCGTTCGGATAAACAAATATTGCTCCACAAATTGGCTGGAAGGGGGGCTGCAACACGCAAGTATTCTCGGGGCAGATGTCTAAAAGAAAATGTTCAGATTGTGAAGCCTCTCAACGGTACATAAGGCAAACAAGCAATCAGTTTCTGATTTTGACAACGCCCGCAAATCAAGTTCCTATGATACACAAACCTGACTTCAGGAACCTGGAATGGCTTGTGGTTTTTCCCTGATCGGCGGAATCGCTTTGTCCGGATACCATGGCACTTGCAATGAGTCTCGTGGCCTTCACGTGTCCTTCACACTATCTGACAAGCAAACATGGGGATGGAGGTGGGGTGGGGGAAGGGGTTGGGGGAAGGGGGGTGGGGGAGGGGGGTGGGGGAAGGGGGTGGGGGAAGGGGCTGGGGGATGGGGGTGGGGGAAAGGGGTGGGGGAAGGGGGTGGGGTGGGGTGTTGGGGTGGGGCTCATTCACAATGGTCCTTGAAGAAACACGGTTTTGGGTTTGCTGGGGTTGGTGGCTCCGCTGCCGGTGCATGTCGACACAAGCCATTGTCTGGAAATTTGGGCGACCTGTTTGGTTCACTTTAAAATGACACCAAGCAGGGATTCACCACCCTATGCCAAAGGCGGCCATTCATGCTAGAATACGCAAGGGACTTCTTAAATGGTTGGTCGGTGTTCTTTTGGCTTCGCTTGAGCCACGAAGCAACCAGTCCCCAGTTACCCTCAAATCGGGAAACCCCTGTGTTGCAGCAAGGCCGGACGGGATTGTAATGCACTCATCCCGAGGTATCCCAGCAGCCATCGAGAAAATAGAAATGTCCTTGAGACGGAGTGATTCGACAGAAACGAAAGGACATGAAGAAGTCAATTAACGCCAGGCTGTTACCAAAGGCTTGACTTCTTCATCCAAGTTCTCAGGGTCTTGTGTCCCAAGCTTACAGACGCTTCCAAGCGGTGGGGACGGGACATGTCTTTCATCTCACCCGTCCACTCTCTTCCCATGTCCACTCTCCTCCCGTGTCCACTCTCTTCCTCTCTTCGTTCGGGAGTTAACCTGTGTCTCAAGGACTTGACCATTTCCTGGATGCTTTTTTACATTAGGAAACTTGGAACCGGCCCCCCAGTTTTTTCCCCAGAGTCCCCCATTTTGGCATTACACTTTTCACCCGGATCCTTGCCACCGGCTTCCGAGGCCATTGCGACCCCCAGCGTCGATTCGCTTCGCATCTCTCGCTGAGGGAGCGGCGGTTTGTCTGAAGAAGGCCTCCGACAGCGCCAACTTCTTATCGGGCCGGGAGATCATGATGTGGAACCTCACTTCGTCTCCACGTGTTGTTTCTTCTTTTTTTTCTTCTCGAATCCCCTTGGCTGAACCTGAGCGAAGTTGTGGGCAATTTGTGGAAACATAGATCCACAAAAACCACCTGGCATGCCCTTTGCCAACCTTTGCGAAGTTGTGGCAATTGGTGGTAACATAGATCACCCCTCCATTTTTTTACCCGTCCCCAACCTGCCGGATAGGCAATGTTCACTGCAAGACTGCTGTCACTTCCCGGTCAGAAGAGCACCCAAGGACCTGGAGAGTCGTTCCCTGGGCCGGGATGAACATGTTTTTGGGGTAGAACCAAGATGGGGGAAGAATCCTGAAAAGGGTCCGAGATGGAAAACCATCTTTTCTCGAGTTTTACGAACCTTTGGTGATGTGGATGGACCAAGTGCCGCACCAGTTGGGAAACAAACCAGTTCGTGACAAGATCGGCCTTGGGATAAAAGGTAACAGAACAACAACATCCGATGTCCGTTTCCCCAAAAACGCACCTAATGATGTGCTTGGAAAATCAACGAAAATCATGAGCTTCAGCAATATTGAGTGCGTATTAACTACGTCATTGAGACCACCAAGCCAAAGCATAAACAACACCATACGACACCAACAAACTCCAATATTTTACGCGTCTGCTCTCGTTGCATGCTCTGCCGCCCATTCCACTCAGGCAAACACAAAACCAGATGAAAAGGTCTGGCTTGCCAGCATCGTGCGTCCGAATTCCACCAATAGCTTTCCCTTTGACCCGGCTGATCAAGGTCTGCGAAAAGTCGTGGAAGACAGCCGATTTGGGTGTGATTCTTCCTTGGGGATCCTGTTGGCAAACATCATTTCCATAAACTTTTCTGTCCGTCAGCCAACTCTTGAAGTGGTTCCCTCCTAAAATTATAGGCGCTTCTCTGGTTTGATGTCTCCAAACGGCCTTTCGATATGGGTGCGGCCGGCAGGCAGGGCGATGATGGCGCCCTCGAACTCTGTACCCTTCCCGGTGTTGATCGTCGTTGGGCTGAACGCCTGAGAAAGCGCCCGAGGAGGTGATTGAACGCAGAGACCTCTTGGAACAAGTGACAACTTTTGCCAGTTGAAGGGGGAATGAAGGAACAACCTGGAGCAAAACAATAAAGACGGCAAGCCAAGTCTTGGTCAAGGGCCGAAGACAGCAGGAAAAAACAACAGATAACCAGAACACACAAGGGATGGCTGAATCGGCCGCAGAGGCATGAGTTGCTTGGCTTGGAAAGGACAATTCCCCATACGCTCCGGGTGTTTCTTGTGGAGGTTTGAATTGCCCTCATCAGCCATGAGTCATTCAGATCTGGGACCCAATACCGCGCTTCAGGCAAACCCTTGCTGAATTGGTGAATCCTTTATGATTTCGAAAGCGAGATGGGGGCGAACTTCATCCTTACAAAAAGAGAAGATTCCCATGGCATACATGAGTCTGCAATTCTATGCTCAAAACCACCCTGAAACAAGGGATGCCTGAGTAAAGGACCATTGTGAGCTTGCCACACAAGAGGCCGATGCATCCCACAATCCAACAATCCTTTGGCCTGGATCGCAGGTACATTGCTGACTTGATGGGGGGCGTTTGCTCGAGGAAGCTTTGGATATGCCTGGACCGGGGTGTTTTCACAAAAAGGACCCTTACACAGTGCAACGGTTCTTTTTGGTTTCCCCTCAAACCCCACTTTTTTAGTTTCAGCCAGACAACCTCCAGATTTTTTCTCTTGCATGCCCCCGTTTGTTTCCTAGTTGTTTTGTTTCGCTTTCTTAGCATTTTGTGGGGACTGCAAAACTGGCCTTTGCACATGCCATCATGCAAAAAAAACAGCAACTAGAGAACATCGCAAAGTGTGGATATGTGTCAGACTCGACCAAAGGCTACAAACAACCAAACAACCAGCTATCAAGCAAGCTATCAAGCAAGCAAGCAAGCAAGCAAGCAAGCAAGCAAGCAAGCAAGCAAGCAAGCAAGCAAGCAAGCAAGCAAGCAAGCAAGCAAGCAAGCAAGCAAGCAAGCAAGCAAGCAAGCAAGCAAGCAAACACACAGATACACGCGTGAAACAAGTCACAAGAACAAACCAACAATCAAACAACAGAAACACACAAACACACACACACAAACAAACAAACAATCAATCAAACAAACAACCAACCAACCAAACAAGCAAGCAAGCAAGCAACCAAACAAACAATCAATTAAACAAGCAAGCAACCAGCCAACCAACCAAACAAACCACTAAACAAACTAACAAGCCAGCAAACAAACAAGCCACAAACAAACAAACACACAACCAAAGAAGCAAACAACAAACACACACAAATACCACACCATACAGCACACACAAGCAACCACACACGCCAAACACGCCAAAGACGCCAAACACGCCAACCAAACAACCAACCAACCAACCAACCAACCAACCAAGCAACCAAGCAAGAAACCAGTAAGCAAGCAAGCAAGCAAGCAAGCAAGCAAACAAGCCAGCAAAGCAAGCAAAGCAAGCAAAGCAAGCAACCAAGTAAGCAAGCAAGCAAGCACGCAAGCAAACAAGCAAGCAAGTAAGCAAGCAAGCAAGCACGCAAGCAAACAAGCAAGCAAGGCAAGCAAAGCAAAGCAAAGCAAAGCAAAGGAAAGCAAAGGAAAGCAAAGGAAAGCACAGGAAAGCAAGCAAAGCCAGCAAAGCCAGCAAAGCCAGCAAGCAAGCAAGCAAGCAAGCAAGCAAGCAAGCAAGCAAGCAAGCAAGCAAGCAAGCAAGCAAGCAAGCAAGCAAGCAAGCAAGCAAGCAAGCAAGCAAGCAAGCAAGCAAGCAAGCAAGCAAGCAAGCAAGCAAGCAAGCAAGCAAGCAAGCAAGCAAGCAAGCAAGCAAGCAAGCAAGCAAGCAAGCAAGCAAGCAAGCAAGCAAGCAAGCAAGCAAGCAAGCAAGCAAGCAAGCAAGCAAGCAAGCAAGCAAGCAAGCAAGCAAGCAAGCAGGGCAGGCAAGCAAGCAAGCAAAGCAAAGCAAAGCAAAGCAAAGCAAAGCAAAGCAAAGCAAAGCAAAGCAAAGCAAGCAAGCAAGCAAGCAAGCAAACACACGAACAAACAAGCAAGCAAGCACACAAACCACCAAACAAACAATCCCACCGTTTGAGTGATAGCGGTGGGGGTGTCTAGCTTCCAATTGATCGACTTGCTTCCCCAAATCGTGTAAAAGCATGCGAGGAATCAAAGGGGGCGACGGCACAAACCTTCACATCGGATTCTGATTGCTCACTGAGGAAGGCCTGGTTCTTGGAAGGAAGGATTAACTAGGTCCTCCAGTAGAGAGGTTAAAAATCAGGGTCCCCTTTTTTCTGCAGTCTATTTTTGTAGGGGAACCCTCCCAACCAAAAAAGTTGGCGAGAAAGGGCACTACTTGGGGACGTAGTTGGAAAGGATTTTTCGATTCGGAAGGCCACACAGTAGGCGCGCCTTCCAAACGATGGTCTCGCAGATGTTGGTGGCTATGAACAGGGAGATCCCCGAGCCGAGGCCGTAGCCCTGGAAAGCCAAAGGCAAATGCGAGCGCTAGTGACGGGCGTTGAGTCTGATTTTGCCTCTCTTTTTTTGGGTTCGGGAAGAGGGGGGGTAATACCAGGTGTAATAGGGCTTAAGCTGATTTTATTCTATTTGGTTTCAGTAACCTTTTTTTTGGGGGGGGAGGGGTGGTGGGGCCTGGGCTGATGATAGTGATGTTTGCTGCATCCCTTCTTTCTGGGTTTGGGGGGGGGGGCTTAAGCTGTTGATAGTGATGTTTAGTCCATCCCTGAGGTTGGACACCATATATCCGGGGCTGAGGTTGAGGCCGGAAGCGGCCCAAAGTTAGGAGTGGTCTTGGGGTGGTTTGCGGGGTGACGAAAGTGCGCACCCCCGTTTTGTCATCCAAACAACTCTCCAGAAGAGGACGGCACAATATCATATTGACACATACAAGGGAGGACCATGTTTTGCAACCTCCCCCTTGGGTTGCTTCCTGAAACATTGCAAGTCAACAATTCACAGACCATGAATGACCATGAATTACAGTACTTCCCTGTTTTCGAACTGCTGCTATTAGGTAGGATTCCCCAAGGGATGCACGGAGCAACGCAGGTGGTCCCCATCTGCCAGTGCGTTTCTAGAAGGAACGTATGACCCTGCAAAAGTCATGAGTCTTGTCTGCAAAGCTGGACGTGCTAACCTGTCCAAACAAGTTGGGCCCCCCTTGCTTGCTTCGAGGGGAATGACTATGTGCCTGGTAGGCAATTACAAAATAAAATGTATACCCTTGCCCCCCCGCAGCTTGATACCCGATGATGCTTAAGGCATCTCCTTGAAGCACATAGATTACACTACGTTATTACTCTACAATGTATACCCTGGCATCCCCGCAGCTTGATACCCGTCCATGATGCTGGCATCTCCTTGAAGCACAACAAAATACGCTACGTTGATGGTTTGGACTGCAAGAGTTGCCTTCAACCAGAGGAAGGCCAAGAGTACCAAAGGATGGTATCCTATTCCATGAGCCTGAAGAGTCGGTTCTTCTCGCTCTGACAAAAACAAGCGTCACATGAAGAAACGTGTATTATTTCGGGCTGCCAAAACACATAGTCGTATTATAACAACCATGCGTGTTGCGCGTCTCACTTTGGCTGCTCTGTTGGACAACTTGGAAGGCACAACACGACGTTGGGAGTACTTCTCCTACCGGGGTTGCAAGGCTGAAGCAGGGAACCTGGCTTGAGGACTTGCGTGTTTGCCGCAGGAGCTGACCAAAGAACTCTTTAGAACCTTTGCTTAGAAGGAGAACCTTCCACAGGGACGATATTTGCGGTTCTTGTCTCTTGAATGTGTAGCAGACCTTTGCTGGTCCCGTGCAAACATAACATGCATGGACGTTTTCAGATTGAACGCACAGAGTCAGATGTTGCGAGGGCTATTGGCAAAATCAAGACCCCGCCTTCTGCAAAAGCTCATCTAACCTCAGCCAGCGCACCTTCAGTGCCTAGAGCCCCAGCCTGTAAACCCTCGTAGCTCAAAACCCATGGCGAAGAATCACTCAAAGCACGCGGCCCAGCGGCTTTTTTTGTGCGGCTCAACTGGATTCTGTTGAAACCTCAGGTGCTGTGTTCAGTTTGGGCTGCTCACAGGCCTCTGGGTCGACTGCGATGCTTCCGACCCTTCACTTCCGTCTCAGGCCCTGGCATAATGGCGATGACGCCAGCAAAAAAGAGCTGCCTCAGGCGTGCTTCCAGAAAAAAATGCCGCTTGCTTCACGCGAGAGCTTCGGCGTAGAGCATTTGCACAAATGGCTGTAATCCACAACTAGGAGATGATGAATCCACAGGAAAGGAACCTTCTGCAGCGAGCCTGATACCTTCCTGGTGATCGTGCTATGTTTCGCACGGAGAACATGGTCGCGGCATGTGGCGTTTCCTGATGCCGTTTCGTGGGATTGCGATCATGTTCGAACTACTTTGCGTCTTTTTGTCGAGGGGATTCCCCAAGGGTAGCGAAGAAAGTCAGAGTTTCACATTCACTCATGTCTTAAAACTAGCTTCTCGAGGTCTGAGATCTTCTGTTCAACGCGAGGTCAAACAGGGATCACAGCGACGCTTTCCACAAGCACGGGACAAGTGGAGGAAGAGAACACCTCCAAGCATTCAGCTCGTGAGGTCACTGTCCCTGCTCTAAACAAAACCGAATCAGTGGAATCCGAGATTGGTTCGGCGGGGGCGTATCCAAGGCCAACGTAAAGATGACATCTCCTCGAGCAACTTGCTCGTGTTTTGGAGATGGCTCGCAGCTCGAGGAAGCTTGGGTCATTCCCCAGGCTGCTGAAGTAGTTTTTTGGGGGGTGGGGGCATGGCCTCCAAACATGGCTTGCCCCCGAAAAAATAATAACCGGCGGCGGGAAATATTTCAGAGGGAGCCCGGGCTCGGTTTTGGGCTGGATGGGTATCAAGCAACTGAATCCCCCCATTGTTCTGCACAAAGTACAGCAGTACAAATCGTCAGGTTTTTTGCTTTTTCCGTGTTCTGTTGTCCTCTTTTTTGCCCCTTTTTAGCAAACCTTGGCAGCCTCCGTGTCTTCCAGTTGCGCAATAAAAGTGGTGCTGGCAGCCTTCACCAACCTGAAAATAGGAATACGAAAGAAACCCTCCATGAGTGAGGTAGCTGAGGTGCGGTCGCTCTAATTTGATGCTGCAGTTGCGCTTGTAACGTGCGGGTCAGGGCCCCGGCGCGATGATGAGGGCACTCATGCCCATGCCCAGCGCGCGCCTCAAGAAAAACAAGCTTAACGAGAGGTGGATGCAACTTGGCTGGTTCGGTGGGTGGTAGATTGATTCCCTTTAAAACCAACAGGAGAAAATAACACATATTCTTAAGCAAATGGAAGTTGGCGTGCGACTAGGGGATGATTCCCATTCTTTCAACCGTCTTGAAAAGAACTGGTTGTTCTCCCCAAGTTTCTGGAGGTTTTCCCTGGAAAGAACGGGAAATGTATCCTTAACCCCGCCGACAACAGACGTGTTGGACATAAGAAATGCTCCTTACCTCTTTACCCCTCCCCTTCCTCCCCAACGGCACGGTTTCAGACTATTGTGGGGTGGTGGTGGGCCCGAAGCGCTTTTGCATCCTTAGCATTTCCTGGGCAGCATTGCCAGCATCACCTGCATCATTCGCATCTGCGCCTGCAAATGATGCGGATGATGCACGTGATGCTGGGGATGTTACCCATGCTGGTGATGGAAAATCTGGAAATAAACGAATGACATGAAGTGAAATGAAGGAAGAAGAACAATTTAACATAAAGGAAAGGGGGGAAAAGGAAACGATCTTAGGGGGGGCAGAGTGTGGGGGGGGGGGGGGTGCGGGGAAAGGGGGAACAAATCTTAGGTGGGGAGAGGGGAAGGGGGGAAGAGAGGCAAAAGATCTTTAAGGGAGAGGGGGGAAAAGATCTTAGGGGGGGAGGGAAAGGGGAGGATCTTAGGGTGGGAAAGGGTAAAACGATCTTAGGGGGGGAAGGGGGGAAAGATCTTAAGGGGAAAAAGACCTAAGGGGGGGGAAGTGGGGAGTGGATCTTTGGGGGGGAAAAAGGCGGAAACGATCAGGGGGGGAGGGAGGGAAAGATCTTGAAGAAGGTGGCAACAGATCTTATTGGGGAAAAGGGAGATCTTAGGAGGGCAAAGGGATCTTATGAGGGGTTAGGGAGAAAGGGGGAAAAATATGTTAGGAGGAGAAAGGGAAGGGACAGATCTTTAGGGGGGGGGGGGGGGAGGCGCAGAGAAGATCTTAGGGGGGGAAAAGGCGGCAAGGGGGGAAAGGATCTTTGGGGGGGGGGAAGGGGGGGAACGATCTTAGGGGGTGAAAGGGGGGAAAGATCTTTTGGGAGGGGGAGGGGGGCGGGGGGAGGATCTTTGAGCGGAAGGGGGAAAGCCATTTTTTTTTCCCCTTTCCCTGTTGAGATCCTTCTCCCCTTTTCACATCTTTTCCCGCCTTTCCCCCCTAAGATCTTCTCCTCCCTTCCCCCCCCCCAAAAAAAAAGCTGCTCCCCCATTTCCACCCTAAAAATCTTTGCTCCCCCAAGATCTTGCCCCCCCTTCCCCCCTGTCCTGAGATCTTTCCCCCCCCTTCACCCCGAAGATTCGTTCCCCCCCAAAAAATATTTTCCCCATTTCCACCCTAAAATCTTTGCTCCCCCCCAAGATCTTGCCCCCCCTTCCCCCCCTTCCCTGAGATCTTTCCCCCCCCTTCACCCCCGAAGATCGTTCCCCCCCAAAAATCCGCCGACCCTTTCTCTAAAAAGGGGAGGCGCACGGGAAGGGTAGTTGGCGCATAAGTATATCCAAAGTTTCATCCTCATCAGCCATCAGCAGCTGCAGCTACGATAAATGTTATCGTCACGGTCATCGTGATCATCATCATCCTTATCATCATCTCTTTCTTATTCTCTTATCCTTATCATCATTATCATCATGGTTGTCGTCATCTCTTATCAGGCAGCATTGGTGATGCAAAGGATGCTGCGAGGATCGTTATCAGCACAGCCGTTAGTGATGCTAAGGATGCTACGATGATAGTTATCACCCTTGTCATCATCTTTATCATCATCTGACCATCACCTAGCATCATCTCATATCTTACTATATATAGAAACCAAAAGGGACGTTAGACATCCTTGGCAACGCAAAGGATGCGATGATGATAGTTATCAAGGAACAAGTACTGATGCAGAGGATGTTGTGATGATAGTTGTCATGACGCGGATGATAACGATCCTCACGCCCCCATTCTCATCATGGTCGTCGTCATCTCTCATTAGGCAGCATTGGTGATGCAAAGGATGCTGCGATGATCGTTATCATCACAGCCGTTAGTGATGCTAAGGATGCTACGATGATAGTTATCATCCTTGTCATGATATAAGATGATGCTAGGTGATGATCAGATGATGAGAAAGATGATGACAAGGATGATAACTATCATCGTAGCATCCTTAGCATCACTAACGGCTGTGGTGATAACGATCATCGCAGCATCCTCTGCATCACCAATGCTGCCTGATAAGAGATGACGACGACCATGATGAGAATGGGGGTCATCATCATCATCATCAGCATGATCACGGTGCTTATCATCATCATCTTCTTCGCCATCGTCCTTATCTTTTTTATATACGTTTCAAGTGTCCCGTTAGACCCGATTTGAGATGCAGAAGATGCGCGGACATGATTATCATGATGACTGCTGGTGATGCTGAGGATGCGTCATGATGATTATCATGTCAGTTCATCATCATCATCATCATCATCATCATCACGGTGCTCCTCATCATCAGCTTCTTCGTCATCGTCCTTATCTCTTTTTTTTAAATACGTTTCAAGTGTTCCGTTAGACCCGATTTGAGATGCAGAAGATGCGCGGACATGATTATCATGATGACTGCTGGTGCTGCTGAGGATGCGTCATGATGATTATCATGTCAGTTCATCATCATCAGCATCATCATCACGGTGCTCATCATCATCATCTTCTTCGTCATCGTCCTTATCTTTTTTTATATACGTTTCAAGTGTCCTGTTAGACCCGATTTGAGATGCAGAAGATGCGTGGACATGATTATCATGATGACTGCTGGTGATGCTGAGGATGCGTCATGATGATTATCATGTCAGTTCATCATCATCATCATCAGCATCATCACGGTGCTTATCATCATCATCTTCTTCGTCTTTGTCCTTATCTTTTTTAATATACGTTTCAAGTGTCCCGTTAGACCCGATTTGAGATGCAGAAGATGCTCGGACATGATTATCATGATGACTGCTGGTGATGCTGAGGATGCGTCATGATGATTATCATGTCAGTTGGCGTTCTTCATCACAGTTCATCATCATCATCATCTTCTTCGTCATCGTCCTTATCGTTTTTTATATACGTTTCAAGTGTCCCGTTAGACCCGATTTGAGATGCAGAAGATGCGTGGACATGATTATCATGATGACTGCTGGTGATGCTGAGGATGCGTCATGATGATTATCATGTCAGTTCATCATCATCATAATCAGCATCATCATCACGGTGCTCATCATCATCATCTTCTTCGTCATCGTCCTTATCTTTTTTTCTATACGTTTCAAGTGTCCCGTTAGACCCGATTTGAGATGCAGAAGATGCGTGGACATGATTATCATGATGACTGCTGGTGATGCTGAGGATGCGTCATGATGATTATCATGTCAGTTCATCATCATCATCATCATCATCATCATCATCACGGTGCTCATCATCATCATCTTCTTCGTCATCGTCCTTTTCTGTTTTTATATACGTTTCAAGTGTCCCGTTAGACCCGATTTGAGATGCAGAAGATGCGCGGGCATGATTATCATGATGACTGCTGGTGATGCTGAGGATGCGTCATGATGATTATCATGTCAGTTCATCATCATCATAATCAGCATCATCATCACGGTGCTCATCATCAGCATCTTCTTCGTCATCGTCCTTATCTTTTTTTATATACGTTTCAAGTGTCCCGTTAGACCCGTTTTGAGATGCAGAAGATGCGTGGACATGCTTATCATGATGACTGCTGGTGATGCTGAGGATGCGTCATGATGATTATCATGTCAGTTCATCATCATCATCAGCATCATCACGGTGCTCATCATCATCAGCTTCTTCGTCATCGGCCTTATCTTTTTTTATATACGTTTCAAGTGTCCCGTTAGACCCGATTTGAGATGCAGAAGATGCGCGGACATGATTATCATGATGACTGCTGGTGATGCCGAGGATGCGTCATGATGATTATCATGTCAGTTGGTGTTCATCATCATCATCTTCTTCGTCATCGTCCTTATCTTTTTTTTATATACGTTTCAAGTGTCCCGTTAGACCCGATTTGAGATGCAGAAGATGCGTGGACATGATTATCATGATGACTGCTGGTGATGCGGAGGATGCGTCATGATGATTATCATGTCAGTTCATCATCATCATTTTTTTAATATACGTTTCAAGTGTCCCGTTAGACCCGATTTGAGATGCAGAAGATGCGTGGACATGATTATCATGATGACTGCTGGTGGTGCTGAGGATGCGTCATGATGATTATCATGTCAGTTCATCATCATCATCATCATCATCATCATCATCACGGTGCTCATCATCATCATCTTCTTCGTCATCGTCCTTATCTTTTTTATATATACGTTTCAAGTGTCCCGTTAGACCCGATTTGAGATGCAGAAGATGCGCGGGCATGATTATCATGATGACTGCTGGTGATGCTGAGGATGCGTCATGATGATTATCATGTCAGTTCATCATCATCATAATCAGCATCATCATCACGGTGCTCATCATCATCATCTTCTTCGTCATCGTCCTTATCTTTTTGTATATACGTTTCAAGTGTCCCGTTAGACCCGATTTGAGATGCAGAAGATGCGTGGACATGATTATCATGATGACTGCTGGTGATGCTGAGGATGCGTCATGATGATTATCATGTCAGTTCATCATTATCATCATCATCAGCATCATCACGATGCTTATCATCATCATCTTCTTCGTCATCCTCCTTATATTTCTATTTACGTTTCAAGTGTCCCGTTATATAGAAATCAAAAGGGACGTTAGACATCCTTGGCAATGCAAAGGATGCGAACATGATAGTTATCAAGGAACAAGTAGTGATGCAGAGGATGTTGTGATGATAGTTTTCATGACGCGGATGATAACGGTCATCACGCCCCCATTCTCATCATGGT